TGCTCTATGGGATTGAATGTTGGGTGCACAAAAAACAATATGCCCATAGAATGAGTGTAGCGAAGATGAAGATGTTGAGATGGATGAGTGGCAAGATGAGAATTCGAAATGAATCCATTCGGGAGAATTTAGGTGTGGCACCAATAGGCGATAAGGTGAGAGAGAGTAGACTTACGTGGGCTGGCCATATGTGGTGCCGACCAAGTACAGCACTTGTTAGGAGGTGCGAGTTAGTTCAAATGGAAGGACTTAAAAGGGCAAGGGGTACGCCCAAAAGGACAAGGTTGGAAGTAGTTCGGAAAGATATGAGGATTAATGGCCCCACTGAGGGTATGGCCTTTAATAGAGCAGAATGGCGGTCCAAGATTTGTGTAGCCGACCCCAATTAATTGGGAAAAGGCTATGATGATGATGATGGCTTAGATTGAATCTCTCGCCCCCCACCGATTTTCTAAATTTACTCATGGTCTAGCCGAAAAATAAAGATATGGCATACCTCGATGGAATCCTATTTCAAGTGGACATAGACTTTGTTTCTATTTAAACAAGATTTGAACCCTCTCTCATTACAAGATTCCTCTCTCTTATGCCCCAAGTTCTCTCTCTATTACGCCATGTTGTCTCTCTCTCTCGCGTGCCATATTTTCCTCACTTTCTTAAATTTAAAACCACGTGAACCCCTCTTTTTGCCTTAGAGAGTCACGCCACCCTCTCCCTCTTTCATATAAGTGACTTCCATCAAAAGAGAAAAAAAAGGTAGCACTTTCAAACCCTAAGTGAGATATGCTTATTTTTTAAAAAGAAGATAGGTACAGCCAGCCAAGAGAGAAATAAACCCTCAAGCCTTACCATAGTTTGTTCCTATAGGGTTTCTACAAACCCTAGTAGAATTTTTTAGCTCTCTAAAACCCTAGAATGAAATGAATGGCATTGCATGAAAATCTTCCCATCTCAAAATTTCTAGCAACACCTAAAGGACCAAAAGTGTGACATCGGTTAAAGGAATCGGATGTGGGGGTGGATCAAGACCTATGAGGATAATTCTAGGCACTTTCTAGTAAGTCTTCCCAGTAGATTTAATTATGTTTCAATCTTGTTTCATAGTTTTCTATGAATTTTCGGGAACATATATTGTACTCAAAACTATAGTGGAAGATTGTTTATTGCTCCTAGATGGTTTTTATTTGCTTTGGCAGTAAAAACAAAGATCCTAGGTTGTATCTAGGGCATTAATTTTGATTTACAGCAGAATATAGTGGCCCATGTAAGTGGAATTCAAGTATATATTGAATAAAAGAAACGAAAACTTTTTGTATTTAATACCTTGGGTTACACATAACCAATCCTTTTAGTAGAAAGAGATCAAAGAAAAAGGGTTACAAGTCAATTAAAAATAAATCCGCAAGAACGACGAGCTCTCCTACTGTCCACGCTCTAGGAGCAAATGGCTTAAGCCAACGGACCGTAACACTGACTTCTTCCACAAAGTAGCCAATTGTAGGCGCCAGTGCAATACGAATATACAACAACCTAGATCAAAGTATGCCCCACCTATCCAACCAGTCTCAAGGAGTTGAATATGCTATCATCAAATTCTTCCAGAAATCTTCCTAAGGTGTTCGAAACCAAAAATGACGGACCTCTAGTTCCTCACCCTTCCCAGTGCCCTTCCAAGTGAGTGGCTTTGGGGTCTAAGCACCTGTTCTTTAAGGAGGAAATCCTGAAGGCAATTAAGGACACGGACAGGTTAAGGCCTCTGGTCCTGATGGAAACCTAGTGGTCCTATTTAACCAATTTTGGGGTGCAATAATACTCGCCTTTTTCAGTGAATCTAACCAAAGAGGCAGAATTCAGAAGACCATGAACACCATTTTTGGGACTCTCATACCTAAGGTCGAAGGGGCCGAGGGCCTTAAAGACTTCAAACCAATTACCCTGCTAAATAGCTCCCAAAGTCTATTCTCTAAAGTCCTTGCATCATTCTTGAGAGAGGTCCTGTAATAGGTCATCTCTCCAATTCAAGGGGAATTTGTCATAGGCAAATCCCGGACACGGCTTTCGTGGCCCATGAATGCTTGACTCAAGATACCTTCCTCTAACCCTCCCTGCAGTCCTAATGCTAGCCTGGAAAAAGTCTATGACCACATAGTGGCACCAACCACGATTTGTCTACCTAAATCTCAGAGGGGGGTGGGATTAATGGTTTCAGATGCTGCAAGATAGCACTACTGGGTAAATGGTGGTGGCACTTCACCGCTCAAGAGAACCATTTGTGGCACACTGTAGTCCATCACAAATACCACACAAATGCATTGGGGTGGCTACAAAGCAAACCTCAAAGGACAGATCCTTTCGGATGTGGCGATCTCTCATAGCCAGCTTCAACCAGTTCGACGAGAACATTCAGATCATAACCACGTGGGGAAACTGTTTAAGATTTTGAATCAACTTTTTTTTTTTTGGGGGGGGGGGGGGGGGGGGAAGGTTTAGTGGTAGGAATCAAACTTGAGATGCAGCATTGCTTGATGTCAACTGATAACCACTCAAGCCCAAGCCCAATTCAGATTTTGGATGGACTTGTGAGTTAGAGACTCCACCCCCCACATCCTTTCCATACCCTTTTACTGTTGGCCCATGAGCAGGAGATCACAGTGGCAGAATCATTTAAGAATTGAGGGGAAGCCTTGTAGGAACAGAAGCTTGTAGAGTTCGAGCAGCTATCTTTCCTTCTACAAATTATCTTCCCAAGGATGGTCATGACAAGATTATTTGGGCCCGTTCCCATCCGGTAAGTTTACCATCCTATCCTTCTATCACAACTACCAGCAACCCCACCCTCCGCCCTGTTAGTGGCCAACAAAGCCGAAATACTGGTCAATTGGATTACCATAAGTTCATAACTAAATGAGCCGTCAATGTGGATCAAATAAAAATAAGGGACATTTCCGAATTCGTGAACGCCGTTTCCTCCATTGCGAAGTGGTTGGTAAACTATGGCTGGACCTTTACAAGTTTTCAGGCTTTTCTCTCCCTCTACGGTCGGCCACAGGTCTATACATAATTTCATATGGCATGGTGCAGTGGCCACTGCACCATGGGTTGTGTGCATCAAGAGAAACTCCAAAATTTTGGGAAGGGAGACGTCTAGACAAGCCCCGCAAGACCCCGTCAAAGCCATGGTCATTTTCTGGGCAAACAAAACAAAAAGCCTTCAAACCCTACCTACACCACTACCAACTTCCTTAACAACTAGGAAGCTATGTTAACTGCAAGACACCGACTATATCCTGCTCATCACTGTGGCGACCCACCCTAAGAAAGAGCATGTCAAACTAAACTTCGACGGCTGTACATCGGCAACCCTGCTCCCATAGGCCTCGGGGACCTATACAGGGACCACAAAAGGAACAACAGCCTTTCCTTCTCGGGATTCATTGGAGAAGTCGACACCACGATGGCTGATGAGACTATCACCCACCTCAAGGGTGTCAAAAGTAACAATCCAGCTTCAGGCACCACTCTAGTTGTTGAGGGCGATTCAGGAACACCATCTTCTGGGCCTTGAGGTCCTCCACATACCCATGGCGACTTGAGCACTTAATCAACCACATATTTGAACTGCACAGGCCTCATACCTCCTTCCGGCATATGCAGTGGGAGGACAATGCCACAGCTGACACGATCCAAAGATAGTGCCACATCAGGGAGACACACTGAACCACATTAGGAACTTCTTAGCGGGATCCCACTTTAGGATTTTCAGTGTATTTCATGATGATTTACATTTTCACATTGGACATCTCACCCCATTTTTTATGTAAAACAGTGCAGTTGCACCCCATTTTTGGTGACATAAAGGGCACCCAACAAGTGGGATGCCATCCTTGACACTATGTTTACAAACTCCTTTATGCTTGACGGGGCGAGCCGTGCTCATTTCTCTTGATGCACCGCCCTGGACATAGAGATGTTAACCACATGGTATGCGATCCCACCCATAGTGCTTCTATCGTATGCCATTGCCTTGACTTCTTGTTATTTAGCATGAACAGATGCTAAGTTGGATCCATATCTGGGCTGGCTGGTAGTAGAGAATGCGAGTGAGACCTCTACGCCTGACAAAGGCTGATCCCATCTATGGATTAGTACCAACCCTTCGCAACATCAACTGCAGAGTCTCAATTTCGATCTACCATATATTCAAAAGTCAAGCTTTATTTCAACAAAAAAAAGTTTGAAGTTTTTCATGCCAAAACATAATAACAAAAACAACACCATGTTCAAGGGGAACTTAACTTTCTGAGAATAGGAGGTTAGATACTGATACACAAAATTGAGACACACATTGATCCATTGAGAAACGTACTTCTGGAGAAAGGAAAGTCCTTATAACAGGAGCTCAGATACTGATAAATAACTGAGATATACATTGATCTATTTTGTTATGAAACCAAAGAAAAGATGGAACTAAATGTGGGATTCCCACAAAGAAGTAACTTTAAAATATGCTTTTCATGTTCACAGGAACCCTTGAGATGTGAGATAATTCTTTTCCAATTGGTATCTATAAAGTCTAATACTATTGTCAGGAAGTTCCACATATCCCACTTTCTATTTGTTTCAAAAAACAAATGCTTCACAATGTATTTTGATAAAACACGGGCACTGAGTGTTCGTCAAAGTAACTGAGTCTGAGTCAGACCAGTGAAGATCCAGACCAAAAAACACTGTTCTTTTAAAGTCACAGACAGATTCAGTCAAGACTCAACGCTCTGGTGCACTCAGTCAAGACTCAAGTTACCCAAGTCAGGGTCATCCAGAACCAACAAGGTGCTGATTCTGAGTGCCTTGGTTGAGTCAGAGCCAGACTCAATGAGTTTTAAACACTGTTTCTAGCTGAGATGCTCTGCAGTACTTGACCTGCTGACAAAAACCACTACGAGGAAACAAAGAATGCAGAAGTAATAAAAGAAGCGCCTAATGAATTTCACCATCCTCACCAAGCTCTCCGTCCTCAAGCTCCTCATTCCTACGTGACCCATCACGGTCTCGCCTGTGCCTCTTATGCCTGCTCTCACTGCCTGATTCGCTCTCATATCCATGCTGCTACAAGTTCCACAACAAACCATCAGAAAAAGAATTGAACAACAATATAAACTCTAACCCACACATAAATGAAAGTCATAACCACCAAACCTTAAACACCAACCCAATACATACATTAATTGCATGATTAGTTATTAGAAAACAAGAGGTCAAGGTGCCTTCATTAAAGGGAGGAGTATTCTAGACCAAGTACTCAAGGCTTACCAAACCATCCAGGCATGCACCATATAGCCAAGAAGAAGAAAAAGGATTCCATTGCCTCAAAGCTGATCTAGACAAAATGCCTACAACAGGGTCATAGTAGGATTTATTTCATAAACAGGTGTTAAAGTCTGGGTTCCATCAAATCTTCATTGAATGGATCAGACTGTGTAGAAAAGACCATATACTAAATTTTGATCAATGGCTCACCTCATGGCTATTTCAAAGGAAAGGTGGAACTCTGCCAAGGGGATCCAGTATCTCGATATTTATTCCTCCCTGTAATTTTTCCGGAAGAAACATCTAAACATAAGGCTGAGAACCTACTGTTGATCAAAGGAATTTTGGGACCTAAACACTTGTATGCAGAGATGTTATCAAATATTTGGGTATGCAAACCATAAGTGCAGCCGAGTGATGGAAAAGGCCTTATCCAAAATGAAAGAACAATCCAGGCCAGTAAATTAGCAAAGGGGAGCTCTACATTTTTCTTAATTAATTACCAGTATATGAATGTCAGGGTTAGGAATAGCTTTGGATGAATTGAGAAAGCACTCCCAGCTACCTACCTAGGCCCCCCTCTCTTTACTATAATGCCAAGAAAGGAATCCATGTAATAATCTCTAACATGAGCTTAAATTGAAGAAGAAAGTTGCAAATCAAATTTTATCTTACTCATGTCTATTGGTTCTGGTCACATCTGTCTTGAATACAATAACTACATCTTGGTGTTTCGCAGAGTGACACCGACACTTCATTTTTTGCTGTCAACACGCGTCAACACTTCAACATGTGTTGACACGCCTCAACCTGCAATAGAATGCCCACCAAATGTGTCATCTATCATAGATCTGACATGAAGTATTGATACTCCATGTCAGATGTGGCGACCAAAAGACATTATGGGACTTGTGACATAAGTGGGGTTCTAAAAATGAGTGCAAGAGGGGGATTTGCAGCGACAACCTCTTGGGTTTCGATAGCAGCTCTTACCACTGTGTTATCAACGGCTTATATGACATACTATGCAAAGTTTATTATCAATATTTTATTATCAATACTATGTAAAAAATTACTTTGGAAAACTAAAGTAATACACAAGTTTTTTCCAAATTTTTCCCATGAAACAAATTTTATTTCATATTTTATATTTCAATAGTTAATTGTATTCCACAGATATGTGTACTGGTTATTGTTCTTATACTTTTAAAAAATTTCTAGAATTTAGATAAAATATTTATCTAAATATATTTTCTTTTACATTTTGTGGGTCTGTTTGGATGAAATCTTATAATATGATTACCTTGTCTAAAATCTTATCAGGAGACTACCTTATCTAAAATTAATTAGTGGTTTGGTATATATTTTGTATTACATATAATATTTTTTCATTTTTTAACTTTTTGGGTGATTTTCAACAGATTTTCAACGATGAATTTGAATAAAGCAGAAACAATTTTTCAGAAAGATAAACGTATATGTGAAACTGCCTATGAGTTTATCTCATATAAATTTACAAGGGACAGCACCAAATGACAGATAATTCATTATTAGGATTAATTTTATTGAAATAGTGATTATTAGTGATAACAAGTATATCCAAACAAGCACCATATTTCGCTTTCTTATATTATATAGAATATTTTTAACTAAGATAAAATATTATATAGTATATTTTTATCTATGATACAGGTACGGAAGTGTCTACCCAATCTAGCTTTTTGGCTTGGAGTACTAGACACCTAAGACATGTAGTAGACACGACACCATTGTCGGTGTCCATGCAATAATGGTGCTTAGCCTTCGAACTACCAAAAACTGCAACTGAAACAACTGAAAAACTACAAAATAATAAATGGAAATCGGTATATCATCCTGAAAATGAAGTGGACATGTGGAAAAGGGTCATCCACTTTGGCAAGATTTCAGATCCATAAATTTTCTCTAAAATTTGGTCATTGAGATGGATTGGTGGATGCAAGCATCTATCCACAAAGGACAGTGGCCTACTATGTCACTCACAGCACTACCTACAATGGTTCGGGAGATTCGAATGTTACAATATTCGAAGGAAAGGCTTGAACAAAATGATATCATGATGATGCATATGGTGGATTAAAAGCATGTGCCCAAGTATCAAAACACATGGACCAACAAACAACCATGGTGCCCAAATACTCATTCAATAGTATCAATACAGTATTATAATTGAACTATATCCCTTGCAGTCTTCAAGGAAATAAGGGAACATCATCGGATGCCCTTTAGGAGGCACCAACTTAAACTTAACGCTGAATTAACCACAATATCAAAATTATTCTTTAGTAATACAAACGGGTGGGGACCCAAATCCCGGCTTGCTGATCCAAAAGAAAGTTACATAAGAACCAAAACCCTAAACTTTAACACCAGATGTCGTACAAGTCCGCATACTTCTGGCAAACTCAAGAAAGACTATATATGCACCTTTCTAGAAGATCTCTTGCGGTCACTTGTGTGCCGACGTGACCTCTTGGATTCCTCTTTCTCCTCTTTCCCAGAACTCAATTCATCAGCTGCACTTTGGTGGCGCTTCCGATGCCTCCTATCCTTCTCTTTCTCCCTCTTCTTGTCATCCTTATGGCCAAAATCATTGATTACATCGAGATTTTCAACATCCATCTCATCCCTCCTTGCCCGATCCTTCTTTTCCCTATCACGATCTCTCTCTTTCTCTTTTCTCTCCTTCTCCTTTCTCTTTTCTTTCTCCTCTCTCTCTTTCTCCTTCCTTGCCTGGCCAGGAAAGCAAAGCATATAAACCAATCTTGCAGATGTTTCCTTTAGTAGAAAGAAAAGTAAGCATGGTTAAGGAAAAAGCATCAATAAGCTCGCAAACCTTTTCCTCTTCCCTTTTTCGTTCCTTCTCTTTGATCTTTTCTTGCAAGTATGCTACATATTCCTCAAATATTTGTCTCGCAAAGCTCTCATCATTGATAGATCTATGCAAGATAACCATGAGGAATGAGGATTCAATACCAAAAATGGTGTAAAATACAGCAACTAAAGTGAGCTTCAATTTATATAATCTTAAAAAGAGGAAGAGTGTAAAACCTATATGCTTGATTCTCCTCCAACAATGGTTTGCACTCCTCCCAACGTGAAGAGGCACTTATATCCTACATTCATTAACAAGAGTGAGACGAGCATGAAAACATTTGGAACAAACTTCTTTCCAACCATGCAAGATACAATTACAGCAGAAAAGGAGGATGTGCTAGACCTTGATTGAGTATAATAAATCTTTTAAATCATCTGCCATCCTTTGGCGTTTCTTGGCTTCTTTCTCCTCTTTCTCCTTCAGGCGTTCAAGCAACTCATCAAAGACAAGCTGCAAGGAGAGGCCGACATCGTCACAATTAAAACAGGTAGATTTCTGAGCAGTTAGCCAGAAAAACATGAGCCTTGTAAGGTAGACATCAGTGAAGTTGCGAAAGCAAACACACATTACCTTTAGATTTGTTTCAGATATGGATTTCAAATTATTGTCCTCCGATATGGCTTCCTTGAAGTTCTCAAATGACCATGTTGACGTCATTACAAACTAAGAAAGATTAATAAGGTTAGATAACAATAAAAAAAATGCCAGCCTTGATTAAAAAATGAATGTCAAAAGAGATCAGCTCAACCGATCAAAATAGAAGGAAAAAAGAATTTTACTCTGGCCATCTTCACAGCATCTTTTATCCGTGTCCTATCTTCCTGGTACTGCAAAAGAAACGACGTGTATCAATAAAAATAAAATCTTTAGTTAGAAACCCCAAAGAGGCAGCAAAATGAAGTTTGATTTTTCCTGCTGAGAATATAGAGAGCAGAACAGTTTAGAATGGTTTAACTCTAGAATACTTTTATTGATCCCACATCAACAGCTAAAAAAAACCTGCTGATTTAACAATAGGTACAGCATATCCGAACCTGTTTATCTAGTTCCTCTGCAGTATCTTCAAACAAATCTTTCGGTGTTGATCCAGATGTATTTGAAGACACAGCCAGATAAGCAGGTAGATCTTTAACCTGCACATAGCACCAACATACGTGAAGCCCCGGTTACATATAAATTAAAGAAAAAATCCCAAAATAACCAACAATGCAAGGAAAAGTTGTCTGAAGCCCAGATAAAATAGTAAAAGTAACAACCTTCATACAATATTCACGCCAATGAGTCTTAGCTGTAAGAATTCCAGCAGCAATATGTCCTTCCATCAACTTACGGAAATCATCACGGTTTTTACGCTCAGCTCGCCTCAAGTGCTCCTATACATGCATATCAAATGCCATTATGCCACTAATTTAGACTATGTAAACAAGAAGCACGGTACCATGAAGAAATTTAAATGCACCTTCTGTAACTTCCTCTGCTCCTCCTCCTCCTTCTCAAGATCTCGTATATATTCCTGAAGCAAATGGTATGTGAAATTCAGTAAAAAGAGAAGCACAAAAATTGCATAAAAAATAAAAAAAATCTATCACCAGGAAAATTTCTTACCTGGAATATTTCTAAGCGATCAATCTTTTCCAGACGAGCACATCTTTCATCATCCTCTAGCCGATCTTGAACTTTACGCCACTGGCTGCTGGCCTGGAAAGGTAATCAACGATTAAAATAAACTTCCTGTACTAAAGGGCAAATTACGAGTGGAACATGTAGGCATTTGCTCACAAAGGTAAGCTCCCTGTAAATTTTCTTCTTGCTTTTTTTTTTGAGAATCAGTTAATTTTATAAATAGTAAAAGAACCTTACAATTGAAATAAAAAAGAGACAACCCACAATATTGGGCGCTCAGAGTACATTATAGAGAGAAGATGAGATAGGAGATTAAGAAGAGAAATGCTGACAGAAAACCAGGAACTGAAATAAGAGGGAGGTTAAATGCAGGCTTCTACTTGGGGCAACCACTATAGGCAAGGCACTAACATCGTGTGAGGTATGGAAGCAGCACCAACAAAAACTGAGCAGTAGATAAGGCGTGGCACAGTAAGGCAAGCCACAGATAGGCAAGGCACTAACATCTGGCACAGTATAGGCAAGGCACTAACATCTTGCGAGGTATGGAAGCAGCACCAACAAAAACTGAGCAGTAGATAAGGCGTGGCACAGTAAGGCAAGGCACAGATATCTAGCGAGGGATGGCAGAAACATCAAAAAAACTGAGCAGCCGTTTTGACACGGCACAGGCTTCTTATGTGAGGCGGCAATACCTACGTCTGAATCTTATGGAAGGGGCAGCGGTCGGAGCACGGCCGAAAAATATGAACAAGAGAGATAATAGGGCAGTCAAAGAAGGAGAGGTGAACGGGAAGCGGAGAGAGAAGAAAGAGAAAGAAGAGGTAGAATTAGGGTGAAGGGACGATGAAGAGAAAGAGGAAAGAGGGAAGGGAAGAGAGAGTAAAGAAGAGAAACAAGAAGGAGAATAATGGTACAGAGGAGGGAACCATAAGAAAAAAGAAAGGAGAGAAAAGGATGGAAAGAAAACACTGATATCAAGTGCCTCCAACAATTTCCCTCACCAAAAAAAAATCTACATTCCCCTTTTCTTTTTCCTTTTTTTTCTCCTTTCTTTCTACTTTTTCTCCTTTTTTCTCTCTTTTTTTTTTTTCTTTTCTTTATACTGGTGAGAGGGCAAATAGAGATTATCAGAGAGAGGAGAACCATGACCGTCGAAAAGAAGAAATGAGGAAGACGACGTGAGGGTGAGGGGAAGGGGAGAAGGCAGGAGGGGAAGGGGAGAAAGCAGGAGGGGGAGGGGTGAAGGGGGGAAAAGGGGAGAGGAGAGAGAGAAGGCAGGGGGGGTGACGAGGAAGAAAGAAAGCAAAAAAGGGTTAGAGAGAGAGAGAGGATAGGAGGAAAGGAGATAGAGGAGAGGGGGAAGATGGGTGAGAAGGGATGCATACTATTAAATAATCAAGTAAGGCATCATGTGAGATTGTCAAACTGTAAAGGAAAGAAGCCAAGACCGTGTTCAGTGCAAGCAACATGAAGAAATGAACGATGAAACTAAGGAAAAATTTTCAAGAACACATTGAGGGTAAAGATTGATATTAGAAGGAAAAAATTGTTCAGAGTTGGACAAAGATTATACTAACAGAGGTCCCATCATAGTAGATATACCAGAGGAGATGGCAAGAATACAGACGGCATCCTCGTACTTCATCAAATTTTGTTTGTCGAACTCTTCTCAGCAAATCGTGAAGAATCACGTCAATGTTCCATTCAATAATCCATTGTCATGCATTTTAACTTCAGCTGGTTTTTCTCTTCCTTTTAAGCCATTGCCTAACACTAATCTTCTTTTAATGTATCATTATTCTTTTAAGATTTACGTGAAACTCTCATTTCAAGCAGTAAATCTTATTTAATACAGAACAATTCCTCACTAAATCTTTGTATACAGCTTCTCGCCGAACTCTTTAGTCATTTATAACCCACGTGTTTGTAACCATCCTACACTACTTTTTGAGGATACCAGCCTAAACTAATTATTGCAGTGTTTTGGCATCCTAAACTCTGCCAAATGATATGGTACTCAACCTTCCAAATAACTTGAAAGTATCAAATGTTTAGTGCACTCTCTATTTCCGTCCTCTCTAGCATTTACCGTTCATTAAAACAAAAAAAGTGGACAAGCCATTCTTGTCATTTTATCTCCAGATGCATTGCAGCTAAGTTGATATGACAAAATTGGGATTGCATCAGCTTTTCCTAAACAAGTTCAGTACCAGACTAAGATCAATCAATCTGCGATAGGTGGAATGAGTTTATGACAGCTATTCAATTTGCTCCCTCCAGAAATCAGATAATAGAAATATTAATTTATCAGCAAATCTTCTCACACAACTTCTCAGGGATAATCATGAATGATTGAGTCCTTGAGATGGAGAGAATTATTAGTTCACTGATAAGTTGAAAATCTCTTGACTTAAATTTTGATTTCAAAAAGCCTACCTATCTAGTGCCAATTGGGATTGGCAGTAGTCTGAGAGAGAGACTTTCTCAGGAGATCTCAGAAAATCCCCATTGGTTAAGGGACCGACTAGGTTATGCTGAGGACATCAATCAGGTATATTTTACTGAAATTTAAAAAAGTGAAGGGGAAAGATGAATCCTAAAAGCCCAGGTCAAGCAATTTGCATAACAACGAACTATAAAAGCGGAGAATAAAGCAACATACCTTAATGAAATCACAAGATTCCAGAAATGCTCTGTATTCCTGGACATTACGCCTATGTTCTTCCTGAGCCTTTGCCCGTTCCTGCACTCATGAAACCATTTGAGAACTTTAGCATATAACAATTCCCACAATTTCTCCAGTGTGTAAGTAATACACTGCCAAGAAAAGTACTTGGACATAATCATATATTCGATATAACCTATAACATAACCCTTTTCGATAGTGCATTAAACCATTCCAAACACAAGTAAATAACCCAATGACACAAACAGCACAAACCTTTCTATGTAATTCCTCCAAATGCATTTCAAATAGTTCTTCACGGTCCCTTCCTCGCTCAACAGCACGGAAACGTTCATCATCCTCAAACATGGTGATAGCCTTGCTGAGATTGTAGAAAAAATATGCATAGTCAGATAAAAAAGATTAAAATTGGTAGCAACTAAAAAAATTAATGTCTAGAACATACTTGTACACATGACTGTCAAAGTAAGTCAATAAAGGGATAGATCAGATTAAGATCAACATCTAAGAACCGAAAAATAAAATAGTAGAAGTAAAACATTTTACGCATTCAGAATCATTCAGCAAGTCAAGACCAAAAGACAGACCTCCATTTTGTGGCTGAAGTCAGCTCTTTAGACTCCTGAGAAACAAGAGAAACATTAGTCACAGAAATACAACAAATAAACTTGCAAAAAACCCACAAAGCCAGCAGTACTTACTTCTAACATTTTCACAAAATCTTCTCGAGCCTTTTTCTGTCTTGTACGCTTTTCCTCAGCCTCAAGCTTTTTCCGTTGCCCCAAGTACTGACATATGACCAATAGGTACAAGATTTTATACAATGCTAGGAAACTAAACAATTGATAGAATACTTTGGATAAATGAATTAAAAAAAAGAAACAACATAATAATGCGCATGCTATATACCATCAAAGAATGTATGCATGTTGAAGAATTATATGCATATCACAGAGTTCATTTATCTTTATGGGTAAATTATATAGGAAAACCATGGTCCTTCTTACCTCATTAAATGCCTGCTTCCGCTCTCCTAATGTCTTAAGAGCACCATATCGCTTGTCATTTATGATCACACGCATGGCCTGACAGTTATAACTACTGTTCATATCATGTATTTAAGAAACGCTTGTGTTTAAAAAGCACAGGAAGAGCGCTATAGATGTACCTGATCCCAAGTCCAATCAGATTCAACATGGGCAGATACCAGAAGTTCTTTAAATGCATTTTTTGCCTCCTGAAAACATAACATAAAAAATTAAAAGAGCAACAGCTAACAGGTTTCCACACATAACCTCTGGATACCAAAAACTTTGCACCCAACCTACCATCCACCAGTAAAGGCATAATTTAACCGTACGAATTTAAAAACAATGAAGCAGGATATTCAAGAGGCAGTACCTGCTTACTGGCAAAAACCAAAGGTTCCTCATCAACTGTTTTCTCATCCGATGTTGGAGTTATGTTGACCTTCCCAGCAACTGGCATGGCTTTTCTCGCCTCCTATAATGCAAGTAGATTTTATATGACAAAAACCATTGTACAACAAAAGCATGTATTATCACAAAAAATGAGAAACAGTTATCAGGAGTTCACAAAAACTAGTCAGGCAGAGAGCAAGTTTCAAAAATAATTTACCTTCAAACGGACAATTGCAAACCTCAAAATATTTCAAAAATCAAGATAAAAAACTTGGATTCAAGACCCACCCAACTTAACTGGCCACCTCCAATTCTGAGGCGAGCTGACTAACTGGGGTTAAGAACAGCAAGGTACTAAAGACATTTGCTTTTCATGTGTGTGCATGTGTAGAAACTAACACTTTGATACACAAGACTTTATAGAAACCAAATTCTGAATTTTGAAACTAAAATAAACAAATACATACCTCCAAATCCTGGGCAGAAGTTTCATCAGCAACTTGAGCAATACTTTCAGGAGAGACATTATCAACTTTAATCCTGTAGATAGAAAATACAAAAAGAAGCAACACTATAATACTTTCACTAAATATCCACACCAAAAGATCCGAAATGGGAACAGCACTTCATACTTTTCATATGCTGCTCCTGCGGATGAAGGATCCACTGCAGCTGCAGAAAAACCAAAAGTTGAAACATGTGGAAGATGTGGGAGTAGGCTTCATGACCAAAAAAGTCAAAGGAATTTCAAAAATGTTCTGAGGAAGAAACTAGAAGAGGACAATGAAGACAAACCAGCAGGAACAGAAACCACAGGTGTCACTAAAACTGGACTGGTTGCCATCCCAGATGTACTAGGCATGGCAGATTGTGTAGCGCTTATAGCAGCAACAGTAGATGGCATCTCAGTTAAAGGGACAGTAACAGTAACCGGAGTTGAGGAAGCCACCACATCAGTAGTTTCTGAGTTTGTCAATTGAGTGCCATTCTTTTCAGCTTGCTCACGAGCCAACTACAACAAAAGAATAAGAAAGCAAGAAACCAGCAAGTCATTTAAAAGAAAGCTCCTTTAAAGTTACCTATTGCATATGCTCAACGGAAACTTCAAAAACTAAGCTACCTTAAGTTCATCTGGTATTGTCCATTTAGATTGCTTTGTAACCTTGTTGTAGTAATACCTGATTACAAATGTTGTCAGGAGCTGCTGCCACCAAGCCCATAAAACAAACAACACGATGCCAGGAAAAACAAATAACAAAGACAAATGATACAGGATGCTCAACATAATAAAAGATCAAGCACTCACTTCCGTCCCTCTGGAGTAGTAAACTCCTTCCAAACAGTTGACGCATCTGCCCTCTACAACAAATTAAAGAAGGATGAAAAATTAAAACCATAGAACTGACATAATTGGATTGAAAAACGAAAAGTTGATGCATCCGCACTCTGCTAAAAAATTTGAAGAATAAAAAATGCCAACATAGAATAAAAAATATAATGGAATTAGGAAACAAACAGTTAAGAATTTTCCTTCTACAGAAACTTAAAGAGGATGAAAAATGAGAACTAGAATGAGAACCATAATTGAATTAAGGAAATAAACAGTTGATGCTCTGCCCTCTACAAAAGTTAAAAGAATGATCAAAATGAAAACCATAAATTTGCAACACAATTGAATTAAGAAATAAACATATAGAAAGGAAACAACTTGCTAAACAATATTCTCATGTTTTAGAGATTTCACTGCCCCAAGGAAAGTTTCCTGTTCCATTATCAAAATATTACAAGTATTCAGCACAAATAAACAATCGATATTAAAATAAAAACTAAATATACTGAACTCCAACCACATGCCTCCAACAGAGCAAAACTAGCATCACCACTCAAATCATATCAAGATTCTGAACTCCAAAAGAGACCACTAAAAAAAAATCATATCAAAGTTACCCCTATAGAAATTAAAATTGAAATAATCCATCACCCCAAGCCTCTAAGCTGTTTAGACTTAGATAATAGTCCTGTTTGAGTGGGCATTTGTGAAATTGTGGTCACAACCAATACTATAAATTACATGCCCAAAAGAAAGAACTTAAAACAGAAATACGAGAAACCATAATTAAGGTTATGCCGATACAGTGGCCTTATGTGAAATTGTGCTCACAACCAATACTATCATCAGCCAAGGACTGCAGTTTCAGCACCTAAAGAAATGAGAACTATTGCATCCATACCCTTCTTGGGCCATATACAACATTTCTGGAAACAAAGCAAAGCCAGAATCGGCGTCATCCATTTTTTGCTGTCCATTTTTGAGCGGCAAAGACCCCAAAGCTACTACCTCTGATTCAACTGCCCCTATCTAGTATGGAAGTTCTGATGGTGCAAAATGCTACTTTTTCCAAGGCAAGGATTTTATATTTCTCTTGAAACTTTAGGTTTTTCCTGCACTCATGCAACAGCTCCAGAATTTTTTGGAAATTGAAATAATTATCTATATCAGTAATGTCACTCTGTGCTAATTAACCTAAAATCTTTATATGAGGCTTGGATGATGATGAATATCTAATCTTATCCTTAAGGTTAATTAAGGTTTCTTCAATGAATATGTTGAGTCTTCAAGTCCCACAAGATCCAAATGTCCCATAGTCATTGGTTATAGTCCTACACCTAGCAGATAGAGAGAAGAGGCAAATGTAAAACTTCTTTAGTCCCAAAGAACCAACGAAAGAATGAGTCTACCTATCTCCATATCAATGGTCTATTGAAGAAAGTGGGATTCTCAAGTTCATAACCCCCTACATGTAGAACAGATATTTTAATAACTGAGTTGATATTCCTGGCCAACCTTGTACGAACATATGAAAGCCGATAAAGTACTAGAGCCCCTATTGCAAGGGTCCAGCCTAATCCGCAGGTCCAAGATTTCATCATTGGCCAGTAGCAAAAGCATTATGTGGCAAAGGTTGTTCTGTCCGCCAGTGGCAACACAATGTAATTCCACCCAAATCCATGTAAACATTGCCTCCTTTAAGATACCTTATGTCTTCATTACTCAAATTAGCCTGTTGTTGTTACAAAATATTAATTGAAATTATTTACTTTCGAGTTATAATCGCAAGGTGGCGCCAATTCAGTTGTGAAAGAGAGGATATTAAAGGCTACTAAAGAGCCACAGGTACCTTAGACTCCCATTGTAGCAGAAGTACGAGATCTGATGAACTGCCTCCAATTCTTTGGTTCTCCCAATGGAAGGCAACTTGCCTAACATTGTTCTAAGGACATCATCAGACATGTCTACAGAATGTTGCAAAACTAATTGACAAGATACTCAACGTCTGAAACTTGGTGGTCACATCCTTGAAAATGCCAATGAGGAGGCCATTCCTTGGTTAGAGGAACAGGTAGAGAGGTTTTTTTGCTCCCTCTACTTTGAAAGCCTTGACGATGTGCCTTTGTAGTTAATTATAGTTGTTGTATACATTATGCCTTTCTGTTTTGATCCTCCACAAAATTTAATTATCAAAGAGAAATGAGAGGGAACCAGAATGCAACACTGAATAGCCAAACATGCATGCACATATATATATGTGAGTGTGTCCATGAATCTAAAATGGTTCAACATTCAGAGCACTGAATAGCCAAATATGCATGAACATGTATATAAAAACTATGAATCTACTCAAAAGATAAGGAGAAAATCATAGAGGACTGAAATAATACCCACATGGAGAGCTGATTAACTACATCTCGAACACATTTTCAGACAAAAATTTGGAAGTGGATAACAGTATGCATATTTTTTGTTGAGTTCAAGGAGGTCAAACGGAACAAAGCAGGGAGTAAAGGTACAGAGGTTATATCTAAGCTATTACAGAATGTCTACTATAACATTAAATATAAAGCCTATAAGAGCAAATGAAGAATTTGACCAATTAATAGTTTCCGATGGTATCATTAGATGCCTCATTGCACTCGAGGCATCATTAGTCAAAGGGGGTAAGGGAATTATCATACTGCAGAAATATTAATATGCAATCTAAACTTTCAAATGAAATTTATATTCTCTGAAAAATAGCCTCTTCCAATGGAGTATTCAGTTGGTTGAACAAGCTCAAATCAGATTCACCTGCCAAAGTTTGATAATTTTCTTTTAACAATTCTAGAAGCTTGTAAACTAAAAGAATCAAGGAATAACAAGAGTAGATGCAGTTAAGGAGCTTTTAATGTTTCCAAAAAGTTCATAAGCTAAAATAACCAAATAATAAATAACAGTAGAAGAGATTTTCAAAAATCCAGAAGGTTAATTTGCTTGTATAAACAAACCAGGCATGAAGAAGTACCAGATACAATTACATCACCAGGCAGAGTTCACTATATGATATCATAGCACAAGGAAGTAAAATAAAACCATTTCATTTCATACCTCTCAATAGAGTAGCACATTGTGTACCGCAAAGCATCCCCTTAAAAGCTATGTGTCAAGCAAGTCATAGATGATAAACTTACATCATGCCAAGAGGAGGAGAATCATAGAACTACCTTTGTACTTCACAGAGTAGATCATACTCATAAAAGATCACGACTAAAACTTCCAGCAAAATGATTCAACTATAAATGAATGCCAATAAATGACAAGTTGGTAAAGAAAACGGTTAAAAACGACACATTTGCTTCACTTAACCATAAATAAATGAGGTAGTTCATGAGAGACTATACAACAGAGAATACTGCAAATAATTATTCCTGTAAATCAACTCGATGAACTTATCAAAAAACACATCTGAAAAATAGCTACACCAAAATACTAAAGTATAACATCATAAAAAAATCCAAATGCTACCCTCATTTTCAATAATTACCGAATTGCTTAGTAAGCTTCAATAACACCAAAATGACAGTTGCCGTTCAGACAACACTCAGTGGTCATGTGCACAATCATCTAATCAAGAAAATATGATCTGAATATACATACAAATTTGGAATGCAGGGCAGTGATGACCATAATGATAAGTTGCATCTCACTCATAAGGAGTCATAGTCAGATAACAATGAGAAAATTTTAAAAGGCAAAGACAGTGTAAGGCATGTTGTAGTCTTTATGGTTAGAAACAAAACTGCAGGCCTTGAGTTGCTGATCATAATAAATCACAAGCAAAATAAAGCACCCCTCAAGGTAAAGTAAAGGGGAAACAGCATTGTTTGCCTGCCTTGAGTAAAGGAAAATCCCGCCTTCATAAGTGAGCATACAGGGCAGCCGTAATTTCTCCTGACTTTCCAAAAGATATCTACAAACCAGTAGCAGAACATGCGAAAAAACAGAAAGTCCGTATAAAACAATTTTGATCAGATTCAGTGCAGAACTGCAGATACCAATTGTCAACAACCATAAAAGGCAACACCATTTCTCAAATCTTTTTAAAGGCATTTATCATATATGATATAGCATGCCAACCAGAAAGCATCAATAGCATTATGAGAACCAAACAGATACCAAAATAGTCATCAACTCACCTCAATTGGTGTCATTAACTCTAAGGGCTTTTCCCAACTAGACTGCCTAGTCTTCTTATTGTAATAGTACCTGTAAATAAAGAGAGATCCAGATAATAAGAAAGCAAAACCACGTGCACCATACTTTATGACAAAGTCCGAAATTTTTATATAATATCCTGAATAGAAAAGAACAAAGAAAAAAATCAACCACTTAGAAATTGCCCCAGTAGGAAATCAGCTCTAGCACCAACATACCTCCTCCCATCAGCAGAAGTGTGCTCTTGCCAATCTGATGAAGATTGCGAAGTGGGATTAGGCTGCGGTGTGGCAACCTAAAAGTCATAAATGACAAAAAGAAGCCAATCAAAAGATCAGAAAGACCTCGCCTAATGAAAAGGGAGAGCCCAAGTGCAAATGATGTGGAGAGCACAGGCACCACGAAGAAATAGAAGAAAAATAATGAGATTTACTGGAGCCGTGGAAGCGGCAAAGGATGATTGCTGGCTGGCCTGAACCACTGGAGGAATGACAGTCGTACTTTGGCTTCCAGATGACAGCCAAGGCTGACCCCCAGATCCAGAGGGCACACCAGGAACTTGCATTTGAGATGAGGGTTGATACTGAGAAGATATGTTAATGTTGTTCTGTGGGTGGACATATGAAGATGGGGCAGTGAACTGCAGACATATAGCGAATAAGAAACAAGGTCACATACCAATGTGTAACCTAACTACATAGCAATGGGTAACCTAACAACAAGTATGATGATTATTGTGAAGTACATTATAGTCCAATGGACTATACAAAAACTGTAGTCCACTAGGTCACTTTTGCACCCTAAATAATGGATGGTGACAAAGAGATTGGGGCACACCAGAAAAGGGCATGAACCCAGTGGTGTGCCAACCCCCCCCCCCCCCCCCCCCCTTTCCTTCCCTTCACTCTCATTACCATTCATCGGTTCAATGAATGATGAGGACCAATAAATTATACTACAGTTTCCAATAAATTTAGGATGCCATCCAATCATACCGTGTAGGATGAAGACAATACTGTTCCTGGGCCACCTAAACCAGGTGGATGAATATTAACATGCTGAGGATTTTGTGGGATCTGTAGAGGTCCAGATGTCATCGGTCTGTTTGGTTGGATATAAGACAGTGGAACTGTTTGTGGAGAAGGTGCAACTTGAGCAGTCTGGGCTGGCCTTGGAGGCAACTGCTGCATTCCCAGAGCATACTGAGCTTGCTGGGCTTGGACAGGGGAAGGACTGCCAATGTTGGAAGCAGGAATACCTTGCCCTACAGGTCGAAACTGTTGGGAGGGTGCAGAAATAAATGGTTGTGACTGTTGAGTTGGAACCATTGGTCGAAACTGCAAACCGCAAAGGATAGTTCAGTAGATATAGAAATTTTGAATAACCAAAATGCCAAAATCCTCAGAATGAATCAATTGCTGCGAAGTGAAAGATTATAACCTGCATAGACATCGGTGTGCCATAGTTTTGAGGGCCTCCAGGCCCCATTGCTGGAGGCCGGAGCTGCTTTTTCAAGCAACCAATAATGTCATTAAGAGCCTTGGCTAAACCTAAAGATCATTAACAGCAGAAGACAAATGGGCAGAGAGAGAGGAAGAGGCACAGCAGGATACCTGGGCCCCAGTGGGTTGAGGATTACTTGCCATTTTCTGATTTTCCAGTGACCAGAAACAGCAACAGAGCTGACTTGGGATAGATTAAGTCCCAGTCCAACAGTATGCACATAAGAAAATCTTATTAATAACAAAAAAAATATTCGATTTCAGGACAATAAACCATAGCATTTGCGTTCAACTACAAAAGACCACTTGAAAAAAAAAAAAATTCAATAGAAATTAAATGATTAGAATAATGCAGGGGACCTTAGAGCTCCATCCCTTACAAGAATATGGCTACCAGCTGTTCGCACAACCCGTACAACAAACTAGTTACTGACAATATCCTTCAGAAGCACTTTGAAGTTGGTAATCACAGGCTCCACATACAAAATGCAAAACTATCACATATAACAAGTATCACTCATGATGCATGTTTGAGGAAAGAAGTCATCCCATGTCAGACAAAACGCAACACCGCAAAGAGTATCCTTTCTCAATATGGCAAGTTTTTATCTCGATAGTAGACTGTGAGTTGTCATGCCCTGTTTCGACACTCATGTGGCAATTCCTAGATAAGATCATTTCACAGCACTTTCCAAATAAGCAGAGAAATTGCCCTTACCCGTAGAGAGAGGATGCAGACCAAACAATGCTCTTTGCTGCTCATGAATGGAAGGAGAAGAGAACAGGCTTTTTGGTAATAATTCTTCGCCCAAATGGACCTTAGACATAAGATTTTTCAGGAAACAAGTAAAAAAAATAAAAGCCCCTATCTGCTTCTGTCAAATCAGTCATCTTTGTAGCCAAAGCACTCAAGCACAGATGGTTTGAGTGATTACAAACTGCAGATTTTTGTGTTCTGTTCTTTTCCAACTAAAACCACCACGGTGGTACAAAATGTGTACAAAATCTTCAAGATCAATAGAGATACAAACTTTATTCTTGCCCAAATTTTATTCTCGTTACTTGCTATTTTTCAGCAATAATTGCGGTGCAGCAGATGGTCAAGGAACCATTTTGCTATATTCAGTGTGTATATTTCAAAGATTCAGTGCACATAGACAAAGATACCCTGTTGCTGTGTTGATGATAGAGAATGCCTACTTCGGGAAAGGGATACCAAACCAACCTTCATACACCGCAAAGAATGGAAGGAAAGGAAGAGTACCCATATTACCAGAACACCAAAAACCATAAATATCTCTTATTTGTGTATCAATGGATAGAATATGCACCACGGTAATATTTCACAAAAATCAGCGCACAACGACAAAGTTACACTATCACTATGCTGATGGCATGGAATGCCGATTTCTGGAAAGGAATATCAGACCAACTTTTTTACAGAGAAAAGAAAGGATGGAAAAGAAAGAACATTTTCTCTCATCAGCTTTTTTTTTTTTATGTAATTCTCTCATCAGCTTATTAAAAGAGAGACTATTTAAATAGAAGGAAAATATAGCAACACAATAAGCCAAAAACCATGACGATAGTGGCCATTCCAAAATTAGAACTGAAGATTCAAAAATAAATAAACAATCTCCCATGGATAGGCTTCATCAATGCTTTGAAACTCAGCTCCGGCCTCAGACTCCACCCTAACCTGAGCCGAGTAACCCGGCCGACTTGGACTCCATCATGGATTAATGGACATTCGCATTTATATCTTGAAATAAAAAGAAAGGGGCGTAACCCGATCTGGTCCCGCCTGAGAGGGGTGGGCTCGAAACAGTCCTAACCTTTGGCTTATCACAAAATGGCCACTCTCAGGACTCAAACCAGCGCTCTCGCACTGGCTACCCGAGCCTTTTACCGTCACACCAAGTGAACGCCCCTTTGGATTTATATCTTGACATATTTCAGAAAAATTTTAAAAATAAAAAAAGGAAAAATAAAAAAATCAAGTTCTTAATAAGAAAGGTTCCCAAATCATCATAAGAACCATAAAAATCACATAAAAATGTTTTTCTAAATTATATATTAGTGATTTTCAACAAAAACTAATGATTTTTTTAAAGCTTTTAACAAGGGCTAGTTCGTCCCTGGAACTTGCCTCGGCCATAGGCCGAGGTCAAGTTACTCAGGACTCGGCCAAGTCCTTCAACACTGGTTTTCATGGGATTAAAGTATGAATCTTGTGTGGCATCTCTTGTAACTTTCTTTTGGATAGGTCAGCATAGGATTCAAAATGCATTGTTGCAATCATCAATAGTCCAGTGCCCAAATCCCAAACAACATCTCTAATAATGACTAGTGCAATCCTACGGATATTTCCCAATAAGGACATTACCATAAATGCACATTCCCCAAAACACCAAAGATCCTGAAATTATTGAGAATGATAATCTCAAAATCATTTATGAATGATTCATATACCCAGAGAGTTTCGAGATTGATCAACATTAACAGCCAAAATTTCAGCATGCAGCCATGCAAATGAAATAAAATAGGACTTCCCAAAATTCAAAAAGTATGCAAATCTACGTACTAGATCATGCAAGTACTCTCGGTTCTCGGATGCAATATGGTCCTAATATATTCCCGAAATTCAAAATGTATGCAAATCTATGTACTAGATTATGCAAGTACTCTCGGTTCTCAGATGCAATATGGTCCTAATCTAAAATTCTAAGTCATGAAGCTATAAACTGGAGATACTATAGAAATCAATGACACATTAAGGATTACAAAGGAAATCAAATCACAGCATTGATGACGTGCATGCTCAATGCTCTCCTTTTTTCTTATCAATGAAATGCAAGTTCAGTTATTTTTTTCTTGTTTTCCTTTTTTTTTTTCTTTTTTTTTTCTTTTTTGATGGATGACATGCAAGCTCAGTTCTTTCTTCTTTTCTTTCTTTTTTTTTCTCCTTTTGATCAATGACACATGCAAGGTCAGAGACAAAGAGAACGAAGGTGATCAAGAATATCCAAATAAATCTTAAAGTAATATAGCAGTTAAGCCATTGAATCGCGGAGTTCATGGATTATCAAAGCCATTATATCTCATACGTGACAAACAATTACAGCTTGATCACCATTGCCGGGAAACACATCAACAATGCCTAAAACCTAAACCTAAACCTTTGTAAAAAACATGAAAAACACATAATTTATTTGTGATGCATGTGAATCATTCAATTTTCACAAAACAAAGTACAATTTACTGTGCACAAATGGCAGTGAAAAATCACAGATTCAGCAGCAAAGCATGAAGATCACTGCCATCTCGTGCAATAGAAGAACTCACTCTCAACCTCCAAAAGAGAGCTACAAAAAAGGTGAAGTGTAAAAAAACACGCTATGAAGCACAAAAAATACAATAAAAGTTGCAGAGAAGTGAGAGAGAGAGAGAGAGATAACCTGATACAAAACCACTGCCCTGGCAAGAGAGAGAACCTGCAATGAGAAAACCAAACAATCGAAACATATAATCAAAAAACAAAGACATACACATTCTAAACAATTAGATAACACAAGAAGAGGAAGAAAAACAACAAACCTGCAATGGAAAAGGGAACCAAATCTTTGAATGTGCAGAATTAGATGGAAGAAAACCGCAACTTCCTATTGGTAATGCAGAAAGCCATGAATTAGCGCTTGATGTCCATGAAATGGAGTGAAGCGATGAATTTATTGCATTGCAATAACCCTAAAATTCCTAAGTTTAGTAAAACCTAAATTTGGTGAACCCTAATTCTAGAAGACTCGCCAAACCCTAGAAATTTAAACAAAATCCATCCGTTACCTCGAATCCAAATCAAAGACGAGAAAACTCAGAGCCCAGGGCTTTTAAAAAGGGTCGGCAATGAGTGTAAAAACCCCTAAGAAAACCTCTTGTGCTGCAATTTTTCAATTTCGGACGCAAACGCCCTGAGTGAATTGAAAACGTGCAGGGGCAATTTCGTCATTTATTCCGTACTGGCAACTGTGCACTCACCTCACGTGAGAGAAATTTCAATCCTTCGTTTGAAGAGCAATGTGATAGGTGATGAGTTCCTATCACGTGCTCCCGCAGGAGCATAATATCTACATGGACAAAAGCGCTGCTTATGAAGGAATTTTTTTCTCTTGCATTTTAAGATTTAGGATGATAGAATATTTTTCACAAAACAAAACAAAAGGGAAAGTATTGTACGGAACAGTAATTCTCCATTTTATTTCATAAGAGAACCTCTTTCTATTTTTTTTCAAGCGGCATAAATAAATCTTCTAATATTTCACCTAACCCCCTCATCCTTTATTTTCATGTGGTTATTCACTTTTGGCATAAAAACTGACCTCAACAAACTATCGTTTTTTATTTCAATTCAAAAAAAAAATTAACTATCATTTCCTTTCCTCAGCTTTCATTTTTACTATGGTAATCTCTCTCTATACATCAAAGCACCAAGAAACCCTAATTTCTATATGAAAAGCATACAACAAATATAGAGAAAAAGAGGAAAGATCAAAATTAATATGGATCATAGGGATAGGAAGTAAAAAATAAGAAGACATATAACAATGAGAGAGAAAAGGTGAAAAAGATAACAATAACCCAAGGGGTACAGAGAGACCGAAAACAAATATTGATATGACAGCAGCACCAAATAATAGGAGGAATGGTGGTTTTGAAGGCAAAGATAGAGAGTATTAGACAGTGAGAGCAATGGAGATTTTGAAAGTCGGGGGAGAGAGAGACAGAAAGAGAGGAGAGAGAAAGAGAGAAACTTACTGTGAGATGTGAGCAAACTTTGTCGAATAAAGAAAGAGCCATTGTCGTAGTAAAGAGAGAGATTACCGTAGTGAAAATGAAAACATGGTAAGGATGGTTAAAAATGATTTTGGATTGAGATGGAACAAAATAATTTGTTGGGGTCAGTTTTTATGGCTAAAAGTAAATAAACGGATAAATAAGGGATGAGGGGGGGTTAGGTGAAATATTTGAGGGTTTATTTATGTCGCTTAAAAGAAAAATGGAATGAGGGTATACCGTGAAATAAAATGAATAATTAGGGTTTGTACGATATTTTCTCTAAAAATAAATAGGTTTTGGGGTGTTATTGTTAAGGATATGTTTGACAAAATAGGATTTGAAATTCAAATTTTTAGAAATTTGAAAAGCGACCTTTGCATGCTTTCTATATAATCTAGATATAAGTTTTTCTTTGGACATTTGACTGTTCTATATATTTATAATTTATGACTATTTGGCTGATAAAATTAAAACTTAATATTTTTTTAGGGTGATAAATCACATGGGAAGAAATGAAAGAAATGTACGAGCAAAGCAACACAAAAATCTGAAAAAGAAAACAAAAAAAAAAATAGTACAATTTATTATATTTTAACAAAAAAAGTAAAAAAATTTGTAAAAATAATAATAATATTTCTAGATATATAATATTTTGTTTATTGAAATTTAAAGGGAGAAAGACCAACTCATCCATTTCAAGAGAAAGCGAACAACTGTTGAATATGGGAGTAGAGACAAACATAAAAAGCAAGAATCCCCTCATAAAAAACCCCATATCTTGCATCCCTAAAGTAAGTAATGAGCCATTTTTATCTCTCTTCACCGTTGGGTCCATTTCTCTACAATTCCTAAAGGGCTCAAGCATAGGGAATGCTACGAAGGTGTTCAATGCGATGGTTATTGTAGATATGGTCTATTGGAATGCACTGATGTGGGTTATGCCCGTCATGGTCCTGCAGTTAAGGCCATCCTGCTATTTGAAGAGATGAAATAAAAAAAAAATTGACCAATACGAAACCATGGGTTTCTTCCCTAATACGAAACCAATTGAAGGGAAGCTTACATCTCTCTATCTACAGGGGCAGTTCATTATTTGGCCATTGAAACAAATATATATGATGTCGGGGTTGTTTCGAATTTTGGGATTCGTTTGAAATATTAAATTGAAACTATCAATCAAAGAGCATTCCACTTTGATTGCAACAAGTAGCATTGCAGACAAAAATACATGTAGCTATAACCTAGAATATAATACATAAATCATAGAAATAGTCAAACTAGCCACTGTCAATGAAAGAAATAGTAATCGTGCAGTTGATTAATATCACTTTTGGAGGTTCTATACAGAACTCCCTAATGAACAACCGGGAAACATGAATTCGAAATGTAGTTGTAACAACATTAACAATTTTGATGCAATCTCAACTATCACTATTTTAGCTATGAAATATCATATGACTAAAATGTTTGGCGGATATAAGGCGGTCCTTAGAGACCATGCTATACTTCCATTGCCGATCGAAGGGAATTTATCGGATTCACCTGTATCTTTTTAAAATAAAAGAAAAGAAGTTGATTTTGAGCTCTTTGATTTGATTTATTTACCGTTTGGATTAAGAATACATTGGAGCCTTTTCAATAAGCTCCAACTCATTTCCTTTTAATTCCCTTGACAAAAAATTATCGATATAAATAGATGATTTTTTTTTAGTATGTTACCCAAAAAGTCAATTACTGTTGAAGTATTTATTGTCAGTTGTGTCGACACATGATGACACCCTGTGACACCCTGTGTGGAGTTTGTGTGAACTACTATTTTGCAAACATTCAAAACACAAACATAAACGATAAAATGAGATGTGAAATGTGGATTTCACTGACTATATGATTCTCTTTTTCTTTTTATACAAGAAAGTTAGTTGATTGAGCAAGGTACATTGATAATTGTCTTGATGATAAGAGTTTTTGTAATGATAAATTTGTAGAACACTTCATTAAAAATGTACTTGTACTTTTGTGAGAACTTCAAATATACATCTACTTAATAATTAAGCTTCATCTAAAAATAATTTTTTGCCAAAAAAACAACAATTGTTTAACAAAAAACATCATTCACATCCATGACATTTTCAAATTTTTGATTTTTAGTTGTCAAGCAAGAAGTTGAACCCCTGTATTTTTTGTAACAAGTGTCATTTTCACTTCCTCTTTTGCTTTAGGGTCCAGGGTTTAAGGTATTTAATCATAAGTAATTTCTACTTATATTTTTTTCCCTCCAAATAACTAGTTTTTTCTCTTATTTATTATACTTAAGTGCAAGTTTTTCTTTGAAAGCAAAAAAAAAAAAGTATTACCTACTTATTAAAGACAACCCAAGATAATAATATTTCTAAAATAGGACTCTCTCTATATACATCGTCCCTCTCGTTTTAAAATAGCTTCTCACTCATCGACACATATACTCAATATCTTTATGTATAGCTCCACTTTTTGTCCTACTCGATAAATAGAAGTGTCATTTCCCTCTCTCGCTTATTCTCGCGTTTGTCTCTCTCTAGGCACCTCATCGCACGAGTCAAATAGAGGATACAGTGTTGTAGGCATCTCATTTTGAAATTGACTATTTTTTTCCTATTTGTCGTAATTTTAGATCCTGATAAAAACACATAGTAAACCCCAAGGGTCCATATTATCCTAGTACACTTTACTCGTCTTATAGTCCCTAATCCCTTATCGTGGGCCTAACCTTCTAGAACACCCTATAAAATATCCCGAATATTCCTAAAACCCACACCATCCTGAAATCTGTAAAGTTATCCTAAAATCACAAGAAATAGAAAAACAAACTTAAAATAGGAAATTTAGGATAAGATCCGTTCAAACTACAATAAGAACGTAGTCAAATTTAAGAAGAGCGTCGAAATTCCGATTTAGCTGCCCATATCTGAGACACCACGATCAGTATCGTTTGGCCAAAAAAACATTGGATGCCACAGTCCATGGCGTTTAGATTTAGGAACCTAAAAATCAATATGGCTGAACTCCAAGAATCCTAGACGCCATGAAGTATGGTGTCTGACCCAAAAAACTTTGGATGCCACAGTTCATGGCATTTAAACCTAGAAACCCACAAATTCTATTGCCTTAATTTCGAGAACCTTGGATGCCACGGTTCATGGCGTCTAATCCAATTTTGCCCAAACGTCGCGTACCGTGGCATCTAAACCTATTTGACAAATCAAATCAAACTTTTTTGTAGGAATCCAATATGAATCATTCTTAAGCAAACTCATAACCGACTTTTGAAGACTATGTAAGTATTCTATTTTGGATCATTGAGGAAACAACACATTATTTTAGATCTGATATGCCCAGTATTAGAAAAGGGAGAGGCGTGCATAAGGCTAAGGCTATAAACAATCAAATGCACACCTTCAAATAGTGTTGAAATATGTTGTTTTAGTACTGGAAATATTTGTGAAGGTCTAAAAATATATTGTCATATCTAATTATAAAAATTAAAGCTTTAAACATAGTGTAGATCGGGAAGCTCAATGAATACTTGAAAAATATTGAAAATTGATAGTCCAAAAAATGCATTCACGATTTAAAATCCTTTTTTTTATCATGCCCCAACATCTTAAGGTTGAGATGATCGATTTGAGGATTTTTGGGCATCGAAACAACCTCCTCTAGTGAATTTTTGAGGTGCACCTTTATTGGATTTTTTAGGGCCTCGCCCTTATGTAAACTTCATTCATTAAAAAAACATAATCTCTCTAGATACTTAAACCATACTTCCTAAACCTCCATTTCTAGAGAATAAACCCTAGCATATGTCATCCTAGCCCTAACCCTAAAGCCTTGGGCCTTCAAACCACGATCCTAGATCTAGACTACAAAACCCTAATTCAATTTTGACCTATTTCAATGATCCATAATCAAGATTTCCAACAAATTTCAAATCGATAATTCAACCAAACTCAAAGAAAAAAGTGAAGGCAAGAGGCGTAATAACTCACGCTCTTGATATGGACGGTGTCCAATCTAGGTCAACTTGCCATGAGGTAAATTTCCTATTTGTTTTTTATTTTATTTGTCTGTTAAGT